CTTTGTGTTGCATGTGTAATAAAACAGTTTCAAATCAGATGCTCAACACAATTTTAATTTCACACAGCAATAGGATTGCATCTTTCAGCACCGTGCAGATGTCATTTTCTTGGGCAATAACCGGAGTCTTTTACTTGGAAAATCAGAGAGTTCCTGGAAAAGTGATTCCACTGTTCTCTGGCTCAGTTTTAGTCAATGGCAGCATGACTTTTACAAAGGGAATAGGGATATTACCTCTCTCTAAACCTGAAGAGGTCTTGGTAAAATTGACCTCCACAGTTACCTGATTTGCCACTTCAGCCAAGCTGCCTAAGTACAGAGAGGAGCCACATGATTTCTACCACGTGATGGGACTTCGTCCCCAGTGTTATTGCTGTGACATTCTACTGAGCCTTCTCATCCCACTCACTCACCATTCACTGTCACTCAAATTCTCATAGATGTCCAGGGCTCGTTAATAAGGTGGTGTGGATAGGAGAGAGAAGGCCCTCTTTTAAATTACCTTCATTTAAAAAAAAATGATCTTCAAAAGCCACTGACATGCAAGTTGGACAGATATGGTGAATATAATGGGTGCTGTTTTATGCAAAACAAAACTGTCAGATTCAGCATTTCCTAACAAAATGTTTGAGATCCTCTATCTGAACTAATCACAGAGCTTTGCTTTCACTTTTCTGTAAGGCAACATGATTTGTCTTGGAGGAACAAGTACTTTAGAGCCAGCAAACATGGGTCCTACTCTTGCTACCTACTAGCTGTGAGACCTTGGTCCTTAATTTCCTTCAAAAATGGGCATAATGGTTCTCTCTCGATGTTGTCACAAAGTTTGAAAGAGATGGGGCATGGGGCCTTGCAGATAGATGGAACTCAGACCATGGTTTTCATGCTTCAAAAAGGCATTTATGAAGCATGTTCTGTGGGTCAGCCCTGAGCTGAGAATGTCCAAATGGATAAGCCGCACTCCTTGCTCTGAAAACAGGCGTCACTTAGTGGGAAAAAAACGACAATAACAACAATAGGCATGTAAATGAATGGTGGTGATTCTCAGTCTTGGGTGCTATTTTGGATGTGTGGAAGACGTGGGATGGTGCACAGAGCAGCATGTCAGCGGCGCTGGGGTGGTGGAGGGCATATCCTAGAATGCTTTACAGAATAGATTCAATTGTGTCTTGGAAAAATGATAGGAGGAGAAGGATGGCCATTTTTGATAAGAGTTTTTTTTTAAGACAAGGATATTCTGAGCACTTGGCTCTGCAATGTTAAAAGCTTGACGTTTTAGCGGAGCCTTCCTCCCATGCTGCTGCTTCCCACAGTTCTCAGAATTCCATCTGACTGGTCTGTGCCTGCGGAGCTGAAAGGGCCAGGCAGTGGTTACCTGTAATCTGTTCATCGTGGTGGAACTAGCCGCACACTGTCTATGCAGTCAATAATATGGAATGCATGGGCCTGCTTGATTCCAGGTGGAAGATGTTCAGTATTCTTAAAAAATACAAGTTATTATCACCATCTGGTAGCTCCTAATACCCGCTGCAAGTGTCCCCCCCTTCAAGTCCTGCTTACACATTGCTATCAGGGAAGAACAAAAATTCCCTTGTGTCTGTAGGTCTTGACTATCCAGTAATTCGCTGTATTTGTCTTAGTAAAGTAAGAGGGTCATTACATGCTGTAAAAGGCTCTGTTTCTTCAAAATTTACACACCAGGAGAAACTGGCTGACTTTGCACGTATAATATACGAGGAGTCATATTCTGTGTGTACTTCACGGTATCTCCCACATTTAAGTGTCACTAAAACCTTAAGAGGGACATGACTGGAATAATGTCGGGTAGAATAATAATTAGTTTAAGGTAGTGATAAGTAAAGAGAGATTGCTGAATATTTCTTTGTTTTAATTGTATGGGCTAAGCTAGAGGTGAGGAGGCGATCAGGAATTCCAGCTACTCATTCATCTTGGTTAGCAGGCATCATTGATCTTTACCCAAAAAGGACTGTTGGTACTTTCTAAACCAGTGCCATATAGATGGTAACGGAAAGGATTAAACAGTTTAAACAAAAAATACAATTAGCAAGTAAGCATATAGAAAAAAATGGTCATTTTCGCTAATGAGGAAATTGGAAGTATCATTTTGTACCTATTATCAATTTTTTTAAATTATACTGTTAATGTCTATAAGATTGTGGTGAAATTGGTGTGTGTATGTGTATATATATGTACATATATATATTTAAAAATATAGTACATGGAATATATATATATAGTAGAGGCAATAAAATGATACAAAGCTTTTAAAAAATAATTAATAACATAAATGAAGAACCTGGTGAATGTTTCCATTTGGGGAACATAGTCAAAGGAGATTGTCAAATAAGAAAAAGTAATTGATATCAATATGTTCATGCAGCATGTTTGTAATATTAAAACAGTAGTATTAACCCAAATATCTAACCACAAAGAATAGTTAAATAAAATAGATCGCAGAGGAAGTAACATTATATAACACCAAAATAATAATTATGGAGACCCTATAAAAATGCTTAAATTATAATGAGCAAATGTGGGATATAAAGCTATATATGGTCTGTGTATGTATAAAACTGTATGAAGCACATGTGGACATAGAGTCAATAGCATAGCATGGAAAGTACACACATTGGCAACAAGATAGGCTTTAGTTTGAGTTCTAGTTCCATATTTGCAAGCTGTTGATTTCTAATAAGTCATTTAGGTTTTGTGTGTTTTGTATTTTTTATATATAAAATGTGGCTACTTGTACATGCCTACAGGACAGCTGCAATAATTAAAATTAGATAATTCTGTGATATCTGAGACAAGGTAATGGGATTATATGTGATCTTTTTTAACTTTCTCTTATTTTGATTTTCATTATTTTATAATATTTTTACAATAGAAAATACATTTTAATTTGATATTGATCACCAAATTTATATTATACTCACAAATACACATCTTGTGGCATTGACTATATAAATAAAAGAAATGATCTGAGTAATTCTTATTCAGTGCTAAATATGTTAAAATACACATTCTGCTAAATCATATTAGTTTATTAACAAACACTTAATGTAGCTTTTACCATGTTAACAGACACTGTTTTAAACATTATATTCACTGAATCCTTATAACAATCCCAGGAAGAAAGTACTGTTACTATCCTGATCTCACAGATGAGAAACTGATCCGCAGAGAGCTGTAGATCACTTGAGTGAGGTCACATTAGTCCGTGTGGTGGAGCTGGGATTTTAACTTAGGCATCTGGTTACATGGACCAGCTCCTGAACGCTACGCTGCTTTCCAACTGTCAACCAAACCATGTTCAGGGAACATATATAGTGCTCGCCACTATAAAGGATGCCGGGAAACATAGGGCACCATCCTTAACTTGAACAACGTTCTCTAGTTTTTAGCTACGGTGCCCAAATTCTGCTCCCTCAACCTCAGATAAATGTCATCCATGTCACAACTAAATGCAATTAAGAGAGATAACCACTTCTCGTCCATAATGACTGGAGTTCTGGATGAAAATCTGGAGCCTACTTCTTGACTCTGTGACAATGTCATTGTTTTCTGCTGAGAAATTGTGGAGTTGTGTGAAGATGTTCTGCAAACATCTGACTCAGGTTTCTCTTTATTCATATATTTGTATATATACAGCTTCATAGCCTATATATACATATATATGTATATGTGTGTGTATATATATATATATATCTGTAACTAATATTACAACTAAGATACTAAATACTAAAAACTAAAATTACACACTGAAATTAATAAAATTTTATTAATAAAATTACATACATTTTATGATACATTTGAACACATAGGAAATCCACAAAACATTACTTTTTAGGGTTAGATTGTCTTTGTATATATCTAATGAAACTTTATCTCTGATTGAAGAGTATTCTGAGATTGCAAAACACGTTCTTACAAATCTGAAAACTTGCCACCTTTTCAGAGACAATATAACAGGATGGTTAAGAGTAGTGGCTCTAGAATCAGAGGGTCTAGATGCTATCTCAAGGACAAGTATTTACCACATGACTCAGGACAAGTCTCTAAACCTCTCCATACCTTAGTTTCTTCACCTGTTAATGGGACGGTGTGTACCTCATAGGGTTGAGAGAAGTAAACAAATAAATTTAGACAAGGGATTCAGGCTATATGAGAGCTCAATGAATGATAAACATTATAATTTTTATTGCAACTGGTTATCTATGAAATCAGTCTTATTACCATGCAACCAAAACAAAATATGGATATCATTAAATTCTAAGATTGGCAGGACGCCTGAGTGGCTCAGTCAGTTAAGCGTCTGCTTTCGGCTCAGGTCATGATCCCAGGACCCTGGGATCGAGCCCTGCATTGGTCTCCCTGCTCAGCAGGGAGTCTGCTTCTCCCTCTGCCCCTCCCACTATCTCTCTTTCTCTCTCTCTCTGTCAAATAAATAAATAAATAAATAAGCCTTAAAAAAAAATTCTAAGATTGGTGTGCAACCAGAGGTCTCATTTTTTGAGTTTTTGTGTTCACCCAACAGCTGAATTGTTATTAATTTTACAAGTAAGTGTTGCAAGTGTGAACTAATATGAAACTTATACTAATTAAATACTTAAGTTTTCAAATCCACTGTTTTAAAAAGTGTTATAAAAATATTCTTCATTTAAAAAGTAATACACTGCATCATAATGAAATATGAAAATTACCTCTTCCAAATACTTTTGTTTCTTTTCATGTCCTTCTGTCATTTCAAGGTTACTTTTGAATAATACATGCTGAAATCAAGTTATAAGGAAATATTAACCCCTTACCTGGTATAGTACCAGATTTTGGTGGATGATTCTACTTGTTATCAAAGAACATTTAATCTCCACTGTATTTCTTTCAAGATTGGTTCTTTTCTTGACAATAGAACTGATTAGAATGTGCAAAGACATTTTAAATAAAAGATCTGTGTTTGTCTTTTCTTTCTTTTGTTGCAGTCATTCTCAACACAGCACTGCAACCCGCCAGCCTTCAGTGACTCTCCAGCGGGCCATCTCCCTGGAAGGGTAAGATAAGAATAATACGGAACCTTCTCTTAAACTAAACTGCAGCCTCATCTCTAGGGCATAAAGAAATTCTCTGCCTGCCTTCCTTCCCTTCTTTCCTTTCTTCGTTCCTTCTGTTGGCAAATATCTATCAAGCTTATGTTATATGCCAAGCACTGTGCTAGGTACTACATTTAACAAGTCAAATAAGATCTCTTCTTTCCCTTCAGAGGGCTCCTTGCCTACTGGGAATGGCAGAAATACAGACACATATTTGCATCCAGTGTAAGCATCACAAAGGAGATGCATGTAAGGAATTAATGGAAGATCCAGGAAGGCCATCTAGCTGAGAATGGGCATCAAAGAAGGAGGGGGAAGCAGGTCAGGATGGTCTCAGAGAAGGCATAACTGTCAAGCTGAGAACTGAAGCCCCTATGGGTATTTGCCGGACAGACACTGGAAGGAAGGGTTCTCTGAGCAGAAGAAAGGGCACGTGGAAAACACGAACACATGAGCAAGCATGAGGTGGCATAAGGCCTTTAGGTGATTCAGAGATTGGCCTAGGGTGTGTGAAGCAGTGGGGCAGGAGAGAAGAATGGAGATGTTGGGGGTGCCTGGGTGGCTCAATAAGTCAAGTGTCCAGCTCTTAATTTCAGTTCATTTCAGGTCTCTGAGTTTATGAGATCCAGCCCTGGGTCAGGCTCTGCATTCAGCGAGGAGTCTTTTGGAGAGTATCTCACACCCTCTCCCTCTGACACTACCCACCCCTGCTCACACAGTCTCTCACACTCTCTCTCTCTAAAATAAATGAATAAATTTTTAAAAAGAAAAAAAGAGAGAGAGAATGGAGTTGTTGGCTGGGCGGGCTTACATTTTAGAGGACTTAGTATTTTGTATTTCTGAATTCCCCAATCAGATAAAAGCTGGAGGGGCTGTGGGGAAGGGGTTAGTATTTCCCTCCACTTGTTTTATAATTAAAGCTGGTTTAATTGAGAACATTTAGTTGATTAATGTATAAAAATTAAATCATGTTACTTCTCCAGTATCTGTTACCAATTTTGTTTCAACCCTATTTCTCAATGACGCATAGGCTTCCTTAATGGCATTTCAATTCAAATCTCTAACTTTATTATTTATTAGTCCTTTCTATTTTAAAATATTATGTTTTATTCAGACCTCTGTCCCTCCTTCTAACATAATTAGGACTTGGGTTCCACCAGAGCGTTCTGGAGTCGACAGGGGTATGGCCCACTCTGTCTCTCATACCATCCCTCTAGATATTTCTTTCTCTTAGATTTCTCCTCTGGTAGTATTGGGGCAAAAAAAAGGAAACAAGAAGTGGTATTTCCTCCCCATTCTACTGTGGCTGTTCCCTTTCTCTTGGTTATCTCTGGTGATGTAGCCTGAATGGGTGAATAACCAAACATGCACCAATGTCAAGAGACTCCCACAGCTCCTCCATCTGAGTGATCCCCTGGGAGACCAAGCTATCGTTTCCACAGAACCCCTAGCAATAGCATACTGTGCCTTCCCATGCACTCACCACTGCTTGAACCATAGTCATCCCTCCCATGCCTGGAGTCCCCATTTCTCATCTGTCCTCAGCAGTTTCAAATCTGAGACTCATAGGCCGAGGGGCAGCCATCTTTCCTTCCCCTTGGGTGGACTTGCCAAGGACAGTCCTTACCTCTTTTGCCCCTGGCTGACCTTCTTATCTCCTCTCCCCATGGTTCTTTTCCATCCCGGAGAGGAACAGGGCAAAGCAGCAAACTCCATTGCTAGATGGATATCCACTTGGAAGAGATGCAAGTCTTTACTTCATGGAAGAGCATAAATATTATATTATAAATACTTTTCATGGAGTGCCCTTTCTTGCCCTCAGCTAAGGAAACTCCTTGCATGTCCCCAAACCCATCGGAAAGTGAGCAAAAGGAATGTGGCCTCTCCATGGGCACTGCACTCCCCACAAAAGGACACCTTCCCCTGGTAGTCCTCCTCTTCTGTTTGTAATGGTAAAGAACATCAGACCACTTTAGCTCCTCTAGTATACAAATAAATAAAAACAAAGAGGTGGGAATGGTAGGCTAAATATGAATTCAGCTCTGGAGAATTAAGCAATATTTTTCTCAACAGGACAGTATCTTCATTGTTAACATTTGTTCTAGTCCATAAAAAAACAAAGGCATAGGAAGTTCCCAGTAGATACGTCACAGCATTTGGTTCTGAGGTAGTATTTAAGGTGGTCTAGATTCTGGGTCATAACCAGACTCCCTGAGTTTAAATCAGGACTCAGGAACTTATTAGCTGTGTGATAGCAAGTTGCTTGGGTTTTTTTTTTTGTATGTTTTTTGTTTGTTTGTTTGTTTGTTTTTATATGCCTCAATTTCCTCATCTGTAAAATGTACATACTTAGTATTTCCTTACAGAGTTTTTCTCAAAAATGAAAGTTATATATATTATTTTTTATAATAGTACTGGCATTATATGTGTGTTTTGCTATAGTATAGTATAACGTTCATTGGTGGTGTTGTTATACATAGCATACTTAATTTATCAGGCAAGAGAATTTTGCATTTATATTAAATAAGGATTCATTAAAACAGTCAGAGATCCTTGTCTTCACTGTACTTTGGAGAGACATATTTCTCTAGCACGGGTAATAATCACTTGTGGAAGCAATCCAAATCATTGAGTTTGCATCATTGGTGCGTTTATTTATATATATGTAAATATATATTTATATATATAAACAAATGTATTTTAATTACCAAGATTATACTTAAATGCTCATTAAACACGTTATATAATAGTGTAAGCCTTTTCTACATAGCGGCTTATCCTCAGCTCTGAAGGAAAGAATACGGGACCAGAATAAGAAATACTCTTACATTTCTGGCATACGCATCTCAGAAAGTTTAAGACAAAGATGCTACGTAAATGTGAGAGGAAATAGTCTCCCAAGCCTATTCTTCCGTCAGCACCCGCAGTGCAGGTGTGTGTGGCCTTGTGACTATACCCTCCATAACACCCCTGTCGATTTCCTCTTCCTGGAAAGTGCCATAGTTTAGAAAAACTATTCCACAAAACTCACTGATCACATTCTCCTGTGGACTGTGATCAGTTTTGAATTCTGCATGTTAAATCGGACATGTGGAACAGATGAGGAAAGGACGTCCAGAGTTAACAAAGGGCTGGGACAGCATTCTATTCCAGAAAACATTGACAAGATTAGGATTCTATGATTTGAAGAATGGAACTCATCATTAAAGAGATTACATTCAAAATGTGCAACTTGCTGAGAATAAAAATAATTCAGATTTGTGGATATTCCTTCAAGGGGAGAGAAAAGAAACTAGCATTTACCGAGTGTTTATCAGGTCCCTGGTGTGTTCTCGTTTTCTCTCTCTCCTCATCCGTCTGTTTATCTTCTCTAATTTTGTTTCCAAAATAGTCATATAAAACGGGCATCCTTTTTTTTGAATCTTGATTCTCAGGGAGATTAAGTAATTTTCCCAAAGATACCTACCTAGAAAGCACAATTTGGATTTGAAATCAGGTTATACTCTGCTGTACAGCAGTGCAGCATGAAAAGGCTTTAAGGAGCTGGAGAGCGCTAGTCACACCATTCATAACCACATTCTGAGTAAGTTAGACACAGTGAAGAACTTCCTGGGACTTCCATTTCAAAATGATAAAGAATAAGAACTGACTCTAAGCCTAGAAATCATTAAACAGAACTAATAACCCACCTCTTGGAGTAGATCTGGAGATCCATGTACACGCTACGTAACTGAGGTGTTTGTGGTAGAGGTGAGGGTATGGGGACTGAGCTGCGCACTGGTCTCTACATCATCTTCTTTGTTCCTTACAAGGACTTCCCTTGGCAGGACACAGAATGGCAGTCAGTCCACATATTGGTCATTAACACAGAGAAGATTTCCTCTAACTAGTCTAAATAATGGTGCTTTCTTTTAAAGCTATTTACAAATCTTTTCTTTCTTCTTATTTACAGAAGCTTATTAGCAGTTAGCCAATAAATATTTTTTTAGCCTTTTGCACTGTTTTCCACTTTAGTGCAATGACGTCTGTCATAACCACAATCAGTAATTCTAATTCTCTGCTGAGACCAAAAATGCAAAGGCCTTCCCCTCACTTCATAATACAAGGATGACTCCTTTTCTAAAATCAAAAATGGTCAGGCACCTGGACAGCTCAGTCCGTTAAGCACCCGCCTCTGGCTCAGGTCATGATCCCAGGTTCCTGGGATAGAGTCCTGCATTGGACTCACTGCTCAGCAGGGAGTCTGCTTCTCCCTCTTCCCCTCCCCACTTCTTGTGATCTCTCTCTCTCTCTCTCTCTCAAATAAATAAATAAAATCTTAAAGAAAATGATATTCTCAGCTATGCTCCATTGTTTTAACTGACAAAGCATTTTGCCTCATATTTAACAAATCCTGTGCTATGAAAAATATTGTGTTCCTTGCAGTCATGGAAGAAAACTGACTCTGGAATCAATGAATTGGTTTTGAAGCCTGGCCTCTCTGCCATCTGTTGTTGTCAGTCTTAAACAGACCTTCCCCTCTCTAAGCATGAGTTTTCTCCTTAGCCAAAAGGGAGAATCGCACAGGACTCACTAGCTTTGTGCAGTTGCATGTACATATTTGACCCTCACTAACTACTACATGAATATATACTTAGTCCAAGTGTTCTGAGAAAACAAAACTTCTATAGCCTAGATTAGTTTGAATACAAACATTGAACACTTGTTATTAAATATATATGTGTATATATTTACATATGTAATATATAAAATTTCTGGATGTAAAATAAAATATTGGAGGTAGAAATAATTTTGCATTGTTGGAATATTTAGAAGGAGATACCTCAGTAATTCTTTATAAGGTTCAGAACACTAAAACTCATACTATATGTGCCCAGCTGGCCAACACATAGAGAGATAATGTGGCATGCAATCATTGTCACTGAGCACATGGTGGGAAAGTCATTTTTTACTTTGCATAG